CTTCCTCTCCTCTGTGACTCCTGGCAGGATTCCCATAAATCTATCTCGGCATGAGCATTGCCTAACATTAGATTTTGGCCTAAATTGCTGTTTCGGTTCAAGTTTTGGCTAAAACATGAGGCTTTACAGCTTTAGAGCCGATTTCTCTCGTTGGGCATGTTCTGCTCCTCTCTCACAGGTAGTGCCCTGTCCTGTGATCCCACGTACTGGAGGAAGAGGTTAGTTTCCAAAGCCGGTTTTGGCGACATGTGACCTTTCAAAACAAAGGGTTGTGATATCCCTGTGTATATGACTAGCCATATATAATCACATCTGTGGTATTTGGTGCCTCCTCAGAAGTTTCGCCTTTTCCCCCATCTTCAGATGAGCATTGCCTGACATTAGACTTTGGCCTAACTTGCTGTTTCGGTTCAAGTTTTATCTAAAACATGAGCCTTTACAGATTTAGAGCCGATTTCTCTTGTTGGGCATATTCTGCTCCTCTCTCACAGGTAGTGCCCTGTCGTGTGATCCCACTTACTCGACTTAGAGGTTAGTTTCGAAAGCCGGTTTTGGCGACATCTGAACTTTCAAAACATAGGGTTTTGATATCATTGGATATATGAATAGCCAGACATAATCCTATCTGTGGTATTTGATGCCTCCTCAGAAGTTTCCCCTTTTTCCCCATCTTGGAATGAGCATTGCCTGACATTAGATTTTGGCCTAAATTGCTGTTACGGTTCAAGTTTTGTAAGTTTTCACTTAGGCGTATAGGAGAATAACTTGGATGATTTACAGCTGATCGCTTTCAGTTTCATGGCCAGATCATCACAGGTGTGGCAGAATCTGAGAAAAGCATGCTTGTTATACGTTGCCATGAAATTCATATTTAATCGTCGATACTGAGACTAGATACTCTGACAACGTTAACCGTATGATCCATCCACACCAGATGCCGACTTCTTTTCAAAGGTAAAAGCAAAAAAATACTCTCGTTATGTCGTGATGTTACACTTAGACAATGTCGTGTGCCCGACTACCTATTTTTGCGACCCATGATATGAGTACTGCTCCTTAAATCACTGGTCCTTAAGGTAATTATAAGACCAGTCAGACGATTGTTTAACGGCCATGACATT